GATAGGTCTAACGCGCTAGCCTACGTATCAACGTCATCGAGAAAGATGTCATTTTCCAACAAGTGTTTTAGTTATACAATTCCAAGGTGTTTCTTTATTCCATTCTATCGATTTAATCTTTATTCGGAATAGAGCATCATCATCTATCTAGCAAACTAATTATTCTAAAGCTACAAAAATTATAGTGAGCAGCTAATAATATTAGGAAGTTACTGTAAAATTTTCAGAGTCAACACTATCACCATTTTACCATAAAAATTCCCATAAATTCATATTTTAACAATATTAAACATTTTAAAATAATTAGAGCAACCCTAAAAACATTTTAACAATAGATAGATCATGATTTTAGGAGCCTAACAAAATTGGTTTGGCATTTTTTGTGAGTTTCTATACTTTATTATCAATTTTCAAGTATTCATCCGCTTACTGAAATTAACAAGACACCGAAAAAGGAAACAGGTTCCTTGGGCCCGAAGCGGCCCAGATCGGTCGGGTCTAGCGGGCAAAGCAGCCCAGGCGGGGGCGGGGCGCGCGAGCGGCCTAGGCGCAGCGACGACAGGCCGGTCCAGCGCGCGGGCGCGAGCGGCCTAGGCGCAACGGCGACAGGCCGGCCTAGCGCGGGGGCACGAGCGGCCTAGCAAGCCGGCCCACGCGAGAAGCCCAACGGCGGCGACACCAATTTGCGCCGAGGCCCTTATACTTTTACTTAATCCACCCGCAGGGCATCAACACTATTCATGCGAGTCACGGAAATTACATTGAGAACCCTAAAAAAGCTCCTACTCCAATACTCACCCTTCTCTTCTTCTATGAAAAGAGGAGGCACGGGACGGCTCGAACTTGGCGGGATGCTCTCGGCGACGGCGGAATAGCGGGCGCACACCGAGTTGCCACGCGGGACTGATGCTCCACGACGCGACGAGAGGAGCGTTAACACGGAATCAACGGCCGCAGCGTGACGGGACAGCAAAGGCAGCCAGCTCCTTCGGGGTTAGGTGGGTCGTGCGGTGGGCGGAGCACCACATCGGCCAGACGGCTGGCAGGCAGTGCACGTGACGATCGTAGGCCGAGCCATACGACGGTGAGTAGTGATGCTCATGAATTTAAAAGAGACACAAAAACCACGGATTAGCTCGCCAAGTTCCAACCAACATGCACTACCTTAGAGTTGACACTACCATCTCCCCAACGAAGCAACCCATACGACCAAAAGATGACCAGCGAGAAGGAAAGAGAGGCGCCAAGATAGACTGGTCGCACAGAACATCGGTTCATGGATAGAGCGCCACTATCATGGTTAACATGTTCAAAGCGTAATTGGGAAATTTTACGAGAGCATCGTGACTTCCAGACCAACCACAACCTACACCATGATCAAGTACACAATCTCGACGCAACCAGTCGTACAAAACACAGATATATTGCCTAACCAGTTTTGTTGGAATTTAAATGCCAAAATGGCATTGTCTACAATTCTTTTCCGACTTAGAGAGAACAATAACTGAGCTAGAACCAACAACCTTTAGCGCCTTTGCCAAAATTTTTAATATGCCTAAACCTAATTAATTCCAACCACTACGTATTTCATACACTAGTCCATACGTCATACTAACTCGTAGAAACAAAACATCTAGGAACTAATTAACCCGTTGTTCAATATAATTCAAAAAATAACACTTTTAAACATAAGTTAAATTTTAAAATCCAAGAAAATCGTTCGGTAAATCCTCTTAGGTCTAAATATTGGTGCTAAACAAGCTTGTAACACCAGAGGTGTTACAGACAGTGCCTAAAGCCCTCGACACACTAAGGGAAGCACCAGAAAGCACGAAAGAATATCTGCCTCCCATCCTTTCATGCATTTGATTTTAGGATGTACTCATAATGCATGCCTAAATTCACCACTTTGATTGCATTGAAAAGTACTGGCAGCTGCTCATACCCATCCTCCCAGTCCCCATATATCATCTTCCACGCTCGTTGCTTCACCCTCCAAGCTTTACCATAAGTTATCACATAACCTCAATACAACGCCTCAACGGTCCTGATAATTGTCCTAACCTTCATATTGGGTTCTCCTTGCAATATTCCCATCAACCGCTTGGCAATGGGGGTAGATGTTAACTGCCGATGCTTCAGTGTCAGCACATGGTCAGCACAATTGTGTGGCTTGACAACTTTTGTGATATTCCACTTTTCTGTGACCTTTTGCTTCCTTGCATAAACCCTCCATGGGCAGCGTTTCTTGTCACACACAACTATGTAACGGCGTTCCGTATATGAATGCAAGACCTTGTAAGGGTCTCTTTCGTATCACTGCAAATGCCTGCAACCACCTCTTCAATACAGGGAGGTCCTTGAATACCCTACCCTTTCTCAATTACCATGTTAGGGCCGGCCTCAGGAGCTTCTAGGAGCTCATCATCACGTCCTTCTGCACACGCCTGATCGAAATGAGCAAGATCGCCGAACTCGTGAACTCTTGGATCACGGCGGCCGGGAAAGATATGCCTCAGTATCTCAATATCACTCTCTGTCAGCTCTCCAACAGGACGATCATCATCAGAATCAATAGCCCTTGCCATCTCATATGGCTCCAAATCATTCATAATTTCAACACTATTGGAGCCACGAAATCCATCTCCATAGTGCACTTACGTAGCAACAGTGGGCACATCCACATTGTCAGGAATGTCTCCTGCAACATAAGTAGAAAAATAAGGAAAGAATGAAAAAATGGATGTAAGGAAGGGGGTAAGCTCCTAATAACCATGCGAATAAGACACTTACTCGGATGATTCTGTGTCAAAGGGATCTCATGAGGAGGATCTGTCACAACATCATGAGTCTGACAAGCATCTCCGACTAGCTCATTAGGGGTAAATTGAGTATCGAGAACCGTAGGTATAACCTCCACATCCATATCAGGTTCCGGGACGGGAGGGTCAAAGTGTGCCTGTTGACCCATTGGTGGGGAAAACCCATGAGGGATGGGATCAACTAACACCCGACACACAACCACGTCCAAACTTTAAAACTGGCACTTTATAGCCGATCTCACATAGTTCTCCCACTAGTCTACACACCCAATTAGGATCATCTTCCTTAGGATGTTGGGAGGGAAACCTAGGTGAAGTACACCCTCCACTGCGATGCCACCATCATCATCAGCTCCATGGCAATGTAGCTCCTCCCGAGCCCTTGCAACCAACTCACTAAATGAAGGCTTCTCATTGAATAACATAGGCACGCTTTGCATCTCAACAAACTCAACATATCCATAACGATATCTTTCCACGGTGCCTCCATGATATATGCTCACTAGGTTGTCCATCTAGTTCATACACATAAGGATGCACAATTCCTTTAGTCCAATATAAATGAAGCATACTAAGTACAAGGTCTCTAGTATGTAATAACTAACTAAATAGATACTATCAATTCACTACTCACTACTAAGTACTACTAACTAACTATGTCAAGTAACTATCTAACTAACTATGTAACTAAGTATATAACTATTTAACTAACTATCTTACTAACTATATAACTATGTAACTAACTATATATCTAACTATGTAAAGTATCCATCAATCAACCTATCAATCTAAATATCTTTCTACCTATCTAAATCACTACCACACTAACCAACTAATAACCACTGTTAAATAACAAAATTTAAAAACTAATGTACCCCGAGTGCAAGAAAGATGTAGCCGGTCGACAAGAGGCAGAGACGGCTGGCGGGAAGCTGTCGTGCGCCCACGCGTGCACCCGGGCGGCAATCGAAATGCCCAAGCAGGCGGGGGCAGGCAGCCACAGGAGGCAGACAAACGGCACCCCGTTACCGGCCTACGGCCCCGCTGCCCTTGTGGAGCGGGCAAGGGAGGGCGGCGTACCACGGGCCGGCGCGGTCGCGGCCGTCCGGGTTCGACGACGGGTAGGGCGGCGCAACAGTCGTGGGTGGGGCACGACGCCTCGTGGCTCAACGCGCAGGGTGGGGATGGGTGCGGCCGGGCACTCCCAGCCGGCGCGGCGCAGCACGGCCCGAGGCGCGCGGGGCGCGACTGGCCGACGCATGGGATGGGGAGTGGGCCGCGGCGGCCGTGCGGGGCGGGGCGTGGGACGGGGCGCGGCTGGCCCAGGCGCGGCGCAGCACGACGCGTGGGGCGGGCGCGGCGGGCTAGCGAGCGGGACGGGGCGTGGCCTGAGGCGCGCGGGGCGGGCTCGGGCGCGCGGCTGGCCGGGGCACGGGCCGGGGCGGGGCGCGGCTGGCCGCGGCGCCGGTGCTCGGGGCAGGCTCGCCTACCAGCGCGGAGCGGCGCGGCGCGTGAGAGAGAACGAGAGAGGAAGGAGGAGATGAAGAAAACGGACCCACCTGTAAGGCCGGAACGGCGCCAAGATATCTGGCGCCGGGCTCGACGTCAAGATCTACGGCGCCAAGATCAGCGCCAAAATCTGTGGCGCCAAGGTGCCTGCCAGGTCACCGCCACGTTTTCATTGGCGCCTATGTGGCCCCAAAACCTAGGCGCCATATGCACTGGCGCCGATACGTGTAAGCTCGACGCCAATTACTCCGGCGCCGAGCTATGGGTCCATATTTTGAAATCATACCTCCAGGGTCATATTTATGAAAAACTTTTTTAAAAATGGCCAAACAAACAAAAAAATTCGATCACGGGACTTGCCCTGTTTGCTTAGAGCAAGTATAATAATAGGCTGTGAGCTAGCTAAATGCTGAGATAGAGAGAGAAGAGGTGAGAAGAGGAGACGAGAATAAAAAAAATCTATGAGAGAGATGAGTTATGTATTAATGACGACCTTACGGTCAGCAAACCGGCTGGCGGTGTTATTAACCAAGCTCTTAGCTAAACAATAGACAACACTGACCCCACCTGTCACTGAGTAGGAACCCGCAATGCTCAGCGAGCAGCTCCGGCCGGTGGTACACGGAACCCGGGCACCCACGGTTTCCATCAAGCCACGCGCCCCGCGACATGGCGGCGGTGCGCCTGCGGCTGCGCGTATCCCTACGCCTCCGCTCCATTCCACTCCTGCTCTCCCAGCCTGACGCCGCCACAGTCCGGCGTAGTTTAGCCTGCGCCAGCGCCTCCCCAGCCCCCGCTCCCGCGCGGGCCATGGCGGCCCCGTCCTCCTCATCCTCGACGCCCTCCCCGTACACGACGCTCGTCGGGCGCGTGAGCTGCGAGCGCGAGATCAAGCGCAGCAAGTTCATCGCCATCGCCGCCCCCGTCCCCAACGAGCGTGCCGCCATGGCCTTCCTGGACCAGGTTGCTCTTCCCTATCCCTCCCTACACATAATTCCACATATAGCCAGCTGCAGCAGAATCTGCGCCTCACCTATAGTTAGCGTTGCGATTTCGTTGTAATTGCGGTGCCCCATTGCGTTGCCTGGCCGATCAACTAACGTGGGGTAATTTCAAACACTAGAGTATGCTGCATCAAGGAATTCCTTCAAACAGTGTTTACACTCATCCCCACCGCAAACTAATTATCCATGCTAAAGAGTAAAGAGTACTTGACTATTTGTGCAATTTCTAACTCTGTTTTCATTTTGAAATACAGTAAGTAACCAAGTTAATTTGGTCCACTTTGTTTTGTGTGATAGGTCAAGGATCCACGTGCTACCCATAATTGCTGGGCATACAAGGTTTGTAGTTCTAGTTCCATCTTAAACTTGCCATGTATGTGTTAAATTTAACAGTGAATTTATATTGAATGTATGTGTGTTTAGCTGGGAGAGCAATTCCGTTACAACGATGATGGTGAACCTTCTAGCACAGCTGGGAAGCCAATATACTCTGCCATCATTTCCTCTGGCATTGATATGGTCATGGTGGTTGTGATTAGGTAATCATTTTGTCAAGTAACACACTTCATTCATATGTTCTCAATCAAGACCTTACCGATCTGTTTTAGTGATCAGTAACTGATATCATCTATACAGTGTACACTCCACCACATATTTTGACAGGATTCATTCCTGTAATTATCACCTTACCTTATCTCTCTGTTTTGAATGACATGAATAGATATTTTGGAGGCATAAAACTGGGAACCGGTGGACTGGTGAGAGCTTATGGTGGGGTTGCTTCTGAATGTCTTAAAGATGCTCCTACTTGTCTTGTGAAACCAAAGGTGATCAATGTCTAATTCTTCAGTATTTGCTTTTTTTATCGATATAATGTTCTTACATGGTGTGTATTTACATTCCAGGCTCGTGTGGGTATGGAAATACCATTTGATCTGTTGGGCACAGTCTATCATCAGGTGATTATCATTAATTCATCATATTGCTTTTTGGAATGTAGAGCACAAATGTAAAACTGGATTTTACCTACCCCTTTTTATCCTTGATTAAACCGTAGTCTACTACGAACTGTTTTAAGTATGTCTCAGTGCATTGATGGTGTGTGTGGGCACTGATACTAATTAGAAATTATCCTTGAAAAGCTAGGTCTAGGTTATCGAATTTGCACGTTCACTTGTTATATACGTGCAGCAACAGACAGACTTACAGAGTAGGCTGTACATCTAATTGTTTGATCTGCCATACAGTGTGTATGTTTGGTATTACCTGCATATTTACTGACCTGATTCCAGTAACTTCTTGAACATCTTTTTGCAAACTAGAAGGTTTTATGATACTAGTAGGTTTGGTTATGACATATGATTCTTTTTTTAGGTACATTTAAACACTCAATATATATCTAAAAACTTATTGTGCTAATGTTATTATTTGGTATAGTATTTTGGGACCCTAGTAAGTAATTGTACGTCAATTTTATCTTTCAGAACATACTGTTCTGTTCGCATGTTGGACCAATATACTACTGAGCAGAATTGAACCCCTGATAGTCTATTTACAGTGAGGCTCTATCACTGTTAACCCAGTATACAACTATGATGGGCCAAATAGGCGCTGGTGACCAGGCAAAGGGTGCCAGGCAGCAGTGCAGCACTAGTGCAGCCGCCGTCACCACCCCTGCGGGCTGCGTGCTACCAATGACCCCACATCTAGTTAACCCTCAAGCCTTGATATCTCTTATTTAGGATCATAATTGTAAGATTCCATCTATATGTTGCTTAAGAGTCTAAGACTAGTCACCTTCTCTATAAATAGAGAGGAAACATACGTGGGAAAATAAAGAAGAATGAATTAAGAGGTTTAACCTCTCACACTCTGTTGCTCATGCCGGTGTCGGCAGCAGGGCCGCCATTGCCCCTTTCTCTTTCCTCCTAAGGACGGTTAGCCCTAGGGCAGCTGCTCACCTTTTCCTCCCTATCCTCCTCCCTCTTCTCTGGTTAGTGTGCCATTCCCCTCAATTCTTCCTCAAAATCGCCTCTCTAATCTCTGGTGATCGAGACATAACAGAAACTGAGTAGAGTTGAACTCTTAATTTCTGAAACAGTGACCGTAGTTATTTGTATCTGTCATAATGAAGTACTATCAATTATGACACCTATCGTTGTCCCAAGTCCTATTGAAGTGGTTCTAAGTAGTATTACATTGCCAATGCTGGCATATGTTTGTGCTACACAAGGTTCTGAAAGTTAATACTGAATAGTTGCATTATGTAGTCTTGTATTGGTTAGATCTATGCCCCATTGAGGGTAGTAGCTATAACTGCGCTCTAAAACTGATTGTAAATTGAGTAGCTCAGTTTATTTTCCAAAACAAAGCTTAGTGAACTGATCATGTGATCTCAGCTAGTCCCCTGAATTAACTTGTTCTTTTTTTTTTAAAAAAATCCTAGTTATCCTATACTTCTGCTGCCTACTGTCACTTAATTCTCTGTTTTATCCATGTTCTTTTAACATGGTTATGCCTTGCTGCATCTCTTGCTTGATTTGTACTTTCAAAATCATATGTGTGACTGAATTAAATGTTCAAACAGCTGCAACATTTCCAAGCTGAAGATATTAAACAGGACTACGACACTGGAAAAGATGGTACTGTTATGGTCATGTTCGAAGTGGAATATGAAAAAATTGAGAATCTTGGAAATGCAGTGAATTCAGCTTGTAGCAGGAAAATAGAACTATATCTATAAACCGCAAGCATGGATTAAGGATGATTCTCAGTTGGTACAACTTCAATTGGGTGAGTGTAAGTGTGGAGACACTCAATCGTATGTACTTGCAAGCCTCTAGTTCTTATTCATTTGCCTCGCTATTTATTCTGGAATCCTCATGGCTTTTTTCGCCCAGCATATAGGTACCAGAAATATTTAGTGCCTTATTCAAGCTAACTGCTAGGCCATATTGAACTGCTCCAGTGTAAACTGTATAGTCTGCTATTTGATCTTGAGGGGCATTCTTGCCTTCCAAATGTTTCTGTAGCTACTATCATGCTCTGAACGACACCAGTGTTCATATAAACTGATTTCACCAAGAACTTGGAATTTTTCTGCCACTCAATTTTGCTGTCCTTTGCACTACTTAAAGCACACCCGAAGAGTATGTCGTGTAATCTTGTTAGTTGTTGGTTGTAACTCTTCATCAAGCCATCGTCTTAAGGTCAAGTGCATCTCTTACTATGGATTTACTGTACAGAACATTGTCCATTGCAAATATTGGACAAGGCTGAATTTGTCCTTCCGGGACACATTGCCACACCAAGTATCAGACTAAAAGCCAGTATTGCTTCCATTACCCTCTACCATTCCCCTTCCTTTCACATACATATGTCTAATTTTGAGGAGATCATTCCACACAGGGGAATTGGTATTTTTAGCTTTGATATGGCACTAGGCACATCATGCTGCCACTTATGTTATTGGATAAGAATAATGTAGAAAACTCATTCAGCTCAGTAATGTATAAAGACCAAGTAATACTTTATTAACAGCAAGACAAAATGGTACAATAGACTGGCTGCATTCACAATCACACCACATGCTAGCCAGGATCACCCAAATAGCAGAACAAACATGACATACACACTGAAAATGACGATATATGATGAATCAAACTCCTGACTAACAGAAAGTAAGAAAAGTCTCTCGCTACAATGAACTTCAAGGGTTGGTGGTTTGTGGGGATGGGGCGGTGAGTGGAGGCACCTGGAGTCCGGGAATGGTTGGGATTGTTGTTGGAATCGTAGTTGGAATGGATGGCACAGTAGTGGGGATCGAGGGCATTGGTGGCAGGGTAATCTGGACTTTAGGAATAGCTGGTACGGTGGTTGGAATCACCGGGTTTGGGAGAGATGGGATTGCGCCAGCAGCTGTTGGTGGCAGGGCTAACTTTGGAATAGGAATGGATGGAATTGTTGGGATTGTCATCTTTGGGACCGCTGGAATGGAAGGCATTGGAGGCAGCGTCAGCGTGGTTGGAACTGCTGGTATGGAAGGCACTGGAGGCAGTTTGGTTGGAACCGCTGGAATGGACGGCTGAGCAGGTGCGGCCTCTGGCGCAGCTGCTGTGTCCAAGAGATGTCGAGCTGCAAGGCTGCCATTGAAGGCAGTCAGGGCTAGGACCAGGACGAGAAGACGGCAACCAGGTCCGCTACGAGCCATGGCTATTAGTGCGTGTATTTGCTTGGGGGTATTAGAGATGTTTGGCTCTGTGGCGATGCCTGTGAAGATGAGACCTGATGCTGGGACTATTTATAGCAGCATGTGGTCAGGTGAGCAAGAGCAATGGTCATCGTTGGTTGTTCACCTGTATCTGGCTTCTGAACTCACCTGACATTTGGTTGTTTACCAGCCAATGAGCTTTGGAGATATCAGGTATAGTTCGATCTGGGAGTTAGGAAGTTCTTGCTCATTTGTTGAACTGAAAACTTTGGATAGGCGGTCTACTTGTTGGATATGTTGCTCTAACCTTTTGACAGGATCATTGAAGTAAGGGAGCTCGGTAAGAATTTCAATGCATCTAACAATGAGAAATTAAGAACATACTCCCTACGTCCAAAAAAAAACAATGCAATTCTAGATTTTAGATAAGTAAAAAAAAACAATGCCCTCCTAAGGATGGTTAGCCCTAGGGTAGCTGCTCCTCTTTTTCCTCCCTACTTTCCTCCTCCCTCTTCCCTGGTTAGTGTTCACAGTACTGCTCACGTGAACAGTACTGTGCCATTCCCCTCAATTCTTCCTCAAAATCCTCTCTCTAATCTCTGGTGATCGACTCATATAACAGAAACTGAGTAGAGTTGAACTCTTAATTTTCTGAAACAGTGACCATAGTTATTTGTATCTGTCATAATGAAGTACTATCAATTATGAAACCTATTGTTGTCCCAAATCCTATTGAAGTGGTTTCTAAGTAGTATTACTTTACCAATGCTAGCATATGCTTGTGCTACACAAGTTTCTGAAAGTTAATACTGAATGGTTGCATTATGTAATCTTGTATTGGATGGATCTATGCATCATTGAGGGTGGTAGCAATAAGTGTACTCTAAAACTGATTGTAAATTGAGTAGCTCTCAGTTTATTTTCCAAAACAAAGCTTAGTGAACTGCCTTATTAAAAAAAAGCTTAGTGAACTGATCATGTGATCTCAGCTAGTCCCCTGAGTTAGCTGCTGCTGCTGCTTCTTTTTAAAAATCCTAGTTATCATGTGCTTCTGCTGCCTACTGTCACTTAATTCTCTGTTTTATCCATGTTCTTTTAACATGGTTATGCCTTGCTGCATCTCTTGCTTGATATGTACTTTCAAAAGCTATGACTGAATTAAATGTTTAAACAGCTGCAACATTTCCAAGCTGAAGACATTAAACAGGACTACGACACTGGAAAAGATGGTACTGTTGTGGTCATGTTTGATGTGGAATATGAAAAAAATTGAAAATCTTGGAAATGCAGTGAATTCAGCTTGTAGCAGGAAAATAGAATTATATCTATAAACCGTAAGCACGGGTTAAGGATGATTTTTCAGTTGGCACAACTTCAGTTGGTTGAGTGTAAGTGTAGAGACACTCAATCCGTCAATCGTATGTACTTGTAAGCGTCTAGTTATTCATTTGCCTGGCTATTTATTCTGTAATCTCCATGGCTTTTTTCACCCAGCATGTAGGCACCAGAAATATTCAGCGCCTTCTTCGAGCTAACTGCTAGGCCATATTGAACTTCTCCAGTGTAAACTGTACAGTCTGCTATCTTTTGAATTTCACCATGATAATGGATTCATGACCTTTTTTATTATTTGTTTTGGTTCAGTGTGTTGCCATGATGGATGATATCTTCTCTTTAATCACATTCTTCACGGTAAGGCACATAAAGATTTTGATCTTGAGGGACATTGTCGTCTTCCAAATGTTTATGTAGCTACTATCATGCCCTGAACGACACCAGTGTTTATATAAACTGATTTCATCATGAACTTGCCATTCTTCTCCCACTCAATTTTGCTGTCCTTTACACCACTTACAGCACACCCGAATGTCGTGTAATCTTGTTAGTTGTTGGTTGTAACTCTTTATCAAGCCATCTTCTTAAGGTCAAGTGTATCACTTATTATGGATTTACTGTACAGAACATTCTTGTCCATTGCAAATATTGAACAAGGCTGAAAATTTGTCCTTTAGGCACGCATTGCCACACCAGGTATCAGACCCAAAGCCAATATTTTCCAATACCCCTCCACCATTCCCCTTCCTTTTAGATAGATATGCTTATTTTTGAGGAGATCATTCCACAAGGGGTCTTGGTATTTTTAGATTTGGTATGCACTACACATGATGCTACCACTTATGTTATTAGATAAGAATAATGTAGAAAACTCATTCAGCTCAGTAATGTATAAAGACCAAGTAATACTTTATTAACAGCAAGACAAAATGGTACAATAGACTGGCTGCATTCACAATCACACCACATGCTAGCCAGGATCACCCAAATAGCAGAACAAACATGACACACACACTGAAAATGACGATATACGATGAATCAAACTCCTGACTAACAGAAAGTAAGAAAAGTGTCTCGCTACAACGAACTTCAAGGGTTGGTGGTTTGTGGGGATGGGGCGGTGAGTGGAGGCACCTGGAGTCCGGGAATGGTAGGGATTGTTGTTGGAATCGTAGTTGGAATGGATGGCACAGTAGTGGGGATCGAGGGCATTGGTGGCAGGGTAACCTGGACTTTAGGAATAGCTGGTACGGTGGTTGGAATCACCGGGTTTGGGAGAGATGGGATTGCGCCAGCAGCTGTTGGTGGCAGGGCTAACTTTGGAATAGGAATGGACGGAATTGGTGGATTGCCGTCTTCGGGACCGCCGGAATGGAAGGTATTGGAGGCAGCGTCAGCGTGGTTGGAACTGCTGGTATGGAAGGCACTGGAGGGAGTTTGGTTGGAACCGCTGGAATGGACGGCTGAGCAGGTGCGGCCTCTGGCGCAGCTGCTGTGTCCAAAAGATGTCGAGCTGCAAAGCTGCCATTGAAGGCAGTCAGGGCCAGGAGCAGGACGAGAAGGCGGCAACCAGGTCCGCTACGAGCCATGGCTATTAGTGCGTGTATTTGCTTGGGGGTATTAGAGATGTTTGGCTCTTTGGCGATGCCTGTGAAGATGAGACCTGATGCTGGGTGTATTTATAGAAGTGTCTGCATGTGGTCTGGTGAGCAAGAGCAATGGTCATCGTTGGTGGTTCACCTGTGTCTGGCTTCTGAACTCACCTGACATTTGGTTGTTTACCAGCCAATGCGCTCTCAGGAGGTATCAGGTATAGTTCGATCTGGGAGTTAGGAAGTTCTTGCTCGTTTGTTGAACTGAACTTTGGATAGGCGGTCCAGTTGTTGGATATGTTGCTCTAACCTTTTGACAGGCTCGTTGAAAAGTAATGGAGCCCACGAAGAATTTCAGTGCATCTAACAATGAGAAATTATGAACTCACTCCCTCTGTCCAAAAAAAAAAAAAACAATGCAATTCTAGATTTTAGATAAGTCAAACTTTTTTAAGTTTCATCAAGTTTATAGAAAAGGAAATATAAACATTTATGTCTTTAATTAATTTTACTATAACAATATATTCCATAATCAATATAATGATACTTACTAGGCATCATAATGTTAGTAATTTTTTTTTGTACAAATTTGGTCAAAATTAAATTTATTTGACTTCTTGGGAAGTGAGAATTTGCGTACTTTTTTGAAATGAGGAAGTACGTTCTACCTTACTATTTCATTTGTTCCAAAAAATAATGTAATTTTAGATTTGAACCAATTCAAATTTTCTTAAGTTTGACTAAGTTCATAATATCGATATTTATATCTCCAATAAAAAAATATTTAATTATTAATCTAATGATACTTTTTGGTATCATAAATGGTAGTAATTTTTTATTAGTTTGGTCAAACTTAAAATTATTTAACTCCTCAGAAAAAAGAATTACATTTTCTTTGCACGGAGAGTATGTTACTGCAATACAAGCGCATTGAGTTCCATCACATGTCTTGGAGAATAGTGTTGCCACAACTGCGCCATATATGTACTCCAACTAAGTCAAACTTAAAAACAACTTTAATTTAGGGTGATTTATTCAGAACAGAGGTAGTACCATTAAAATATTATTTTTAAAACTACAAATGATTAGGCACTGATCCCAATTCAGTGTACCATAGCACTTTCTTCAAAACCATCAATGTCATATATATAGGACAAAAATGATACTACTCTCATATGCACAATATTGCTAGAGTTCTCTCTTAAGGATACAAGGGCAAAGCAGAACCCCCTGTGACGCCACTATCCCACCCCACCCCAATGCTACTGTTGCCCTGCCCGACCCTTGTCGCGCCTGCCCTCCACCTGATGATGCTCCAACCCTCAACTCTCTGTCCTACCCCACAACTCTTCGTCCTATTTAGCCACCGGCCCACTCTTCGCCTCTGCCACACTAAAGTGCCGCCCTCCACCAAGCTGCTCGCACTCTCACCCGCTACTCCGTGGAGTCAATTTGGTTTGGCCGACCGCCTCTTCTAGTTCATGTCTGTCAAGAGGAGCAGACGAGGAACAAGCAGGGATCTGCTAGATCTCGCTATTGTTTTCTCAACTGGCATCGCCACTACTTCTTCCATTGCATCGATGTCATCGTCCTAATAGGCATAGGGAGCGACAACATCGCCTCTGGTCTCCCCGGTTTCACCGTGTTTCGGCTCTCCTTCCTAGCATCACCATCTTCACAATGCTTAGAGTTGGGTAGATGGTGTGGCTACATCTTCACCAGATGGGTGTCATGATTCGCTATCAACTTTGGCTAATCACCGTCCTTGGTGTGTTGCATGCGGTTTTCATTGTTGCGTCGGTTCGTCCACCTTGGATCTTTAGTTTGTGCTTGGGCCTCTGATGAAGTCTTTCGCTCATATCTCTAGGAGTTCTTCACATCTTGGCTTGAGGAGGTGGGGCATCTACCATCAAGTTGTGGCTTGCATGGATGACCAACCATCTGGAATGTGCAGAGCCTCCAAGCGAGGATCCCCTTTGTTCCAGACTTAGCCAATCTTTTTGTCCTTGTTCCCCAGTCCGACACTCTTTGACTCCATCATTCTTGACTATAGTTTCATGCCTACTTTGGACCCCATGATATGCGATGAGAAGTCGATGGCCGTGGTGGATCCAAACAATTAAGGTCTTTCTGGCACTAATGCTTTGGATGGGTGAAAGTCCCAGTTTGGTTTTGATAATTGAGTGACAACATTAGTGGACTAATGTTTCATGTGAGATGAATAGGTGTTTAGTCCACAAGCTTGTCTTGAGCAATCTTTAAGACCATGGAGGAGGTGCTAGGAGCATAAAGTTCAATGGCTCAAGATAAGAGGAGATGATGGAGATAGATGGAGTTGAAGGCAAGCCCCAAGGCAAATGTATAAGTTATAGAGATTTTGCTTTCACTGGCATAAGATGTGTAGAGAAGTGATGGGTTTAAGATAGATAATCATACTATAAAGAGGGGAAATCTTTGGTTAATATGATTAACTAATGCCACTAGATGAGATGTAATAGTACATATGTATTAGATCAAGTGGTGCGGTGAGGAAAAGAGAAAACCTTTGAAAATATTTCAAATAAAAAACTTCTGAACTACAAAGGTGTAGATCGTGTCGGAGACTATAATTTTTAAGTTTGTATTCATCCGATTTCATATGAATAAGTTATGAATTATTTTTGGAAGCAGTTATTTCTATAGGCACATGCCTTTTAAGATGCCCACCTTTATTAATTGATTTCTAGTAGCAGGCGCAGAATGCCCGCCTCTGTTAATAGTGATTTTCATAGACAGACCCTTAAGACGACTGTCTCTACTGATACTTGACTGACAGAGACGGGCACCTTAGGATACCTGCCTCTGAAAATAATTAATAGCGGAAGGCTTTTGCTTGGAGGTCGTCATTACAGAGGCAGTCCCTAGATGTGCTCGTCTCTGTTAATTAGAGAGGCTGTCTCCAAAAATCGCTTTAAGTTTTTCAAAATCGAGTTCACCCCCTCTTTGGTTAATTCTGTACTTACAACTAGCAAGCTATGCGCCTCCTTGGTGCGCCGTACTATACTGTAACGTCTATATAATGACCAGTTTTTGGGTGAGGAGCATAAATACTCCTAGCCTTCTCTTTTGAGGGTTGCTATTCTAGTGCTTTCTATAGCCTTTCTAAGCCTTGTGTTGTTTTTTAAATGGGCCTTAGGCTTTCTAGAGGCAGCCCTCTAATGAGATCTACCTGTGTAAATCAATTTGCTGAGGTGGGTTTTGTCCTTTTGACTATGTTTTATGGAGGCGGTAGATTAGGTAAACCTATGTCAACTCAACTATCTCCGAAATCAGTTTTGTAGTTGTAAATTATACACAAAATGATTTTTTTTTTACGGGGGGGGGGGAGAAGAAAGAGAATTTAGTGTCACGAGACAAGTCTTACACTATTTCATAGAATAATATTGCAATGCAACTCAATTTCTTTATTCTACTAGTATATTGCCCGTGCTAACGCTACGGTGATATTTAAGACAACACAAATTAAACAACCAAAATAATGTATATGCTTTGATGATTTTTGAAAAATCATCGATCACATATTATAATATTATAATAAAAAACATGATTCTGATGACAACCTGACATACCAAATAAAGATTACTTGCATGACAACAATGATATCAAAATATAGTGGATAAATACACAGGTCTTTGCATGACAACAAAGATAAAGAATTAACATCAGCCAAAAATAAACTGAAATTGTCACTAAAACGGTAGCAAAAGAGTAATACAGGCAAACATAGCTCGAAATATGCAGGCAAGGATAAGTCCAAATATATAGTCTTCAATTTGAGAACGATGAAGTACATCTCAAGGGTTGTGTTGCTGCTCAGAGAGCCCCGGTGGCATCCCTGCAAGTATCATCAAGAATTAAAGCCTGCAATGAAAGAGAAATACCATGTATCTGTCTCATATCTCCCCAGTTCGATCTTCGTGATATTACTCACCTTTGTGAATTCTTCATGTTCCCGTAAGCTGGTTGGATGCCGCTCCTCCTCATGTCCTTGCTACCAAAACAATTGAGGTCAAATGAGCAAGAAATAGTTTTTGAACTGAATGCACATAGAGGTCATGCTTCAACTAACATTCAGATAATAAATCTTCACATAACACTTAAGTGAAAATAATAAATGTGTGATGAGACAGGAAAATTAAGATCGTCACAAGCCACATACCTTTCCCCACAAGCCAGACACCTTAGAGCATCTCCAACCGAACCCTCAGCTCAAATTTTGACCCCCTATCCTTCAAAGTAGGGCTCCCTCATCCAGATTCCACCCCTACTTTGTTGTGAACTCCATTCGATCCCTCATATTTGCCTCCCTACTTTCTCCCACCTCTATTTAATGCATATAGTATCTTGTAACTAACAAATGAACCATTTTAGCAGCTATATTTCTAACGTTTATACTTCTAATGTCTACATTCCCACCTCTAGCCATGGTAACACCAACATGTTATCCTCTTTTACACTGAAATCTTTTGATCTCTTCTTGCTTCCTTTCATAGACTGAGAGGCTTGTTCAACAACATTTTGTCCTTCAGGTGAGATACCAAAATAAGACACATCAAAATCAACCTTAGCGCTGTCCACATTGCTCCCAAAAACATCATTGAAGCTGGGCATTTCCATCTTCCTGCACTACAAAGTATATTGCAAACCAATTCAATAAGAGTTGCTGAATTAAACAAGCCAAATCAATTTATTATTGCAAAATCAATTTCAATATACGATGTTCAGTTGCACAAACCGTAAAAACATTTATTACATAAATGCTCTCACTCTCTCTTTGACCCTATATGCTCTCACGAAAAGGTTAAAAAATCATTTGCCATGTGCTTTTAGCTATTTGTCTGAATTCTATGTCTGTCACTGAAGGGGACCATAACGCTTAAGAGGGGGGGGGTTGAATTAG